AGCTCCTTCCCCGCTGGCCACCATCAAACCTTCCTCTACCTTCTCTCTTAGGTACTGGCCCCTGGACTTGTTTGCTGCTTTGAGTTCAAGGAAGGAATGAGAGCTGAGTAAGCTGACTCAGTGAGCTGTCTTCGTGCTCTAGTTCATGTGCTCTGTCTCCTCTCTGCAGCTGTGCAGAGGCACCACACCTGAGTGACACACCACAGTGCCTGGGACCCTGGAGAATAGCATGTTTGAAATCGAAACTCCTTACTGTGGCCTAGAAGGCCCCAGTATCTGGCTCTACTACCTCTCTGTCCTCTGCTCCAGCACAGCCCTCTGCTCTCCCTGCTGGAAACATACTTGCTTTCTTTCTGTCCCTCAGAACAAACCAGGCTGACTCCTGCTGGAGGAGGCTTTTGCACTTGCTCTTGTCTCTGTCCAAGATGCTCTTTCCCTGGGTCATCCCATGGCTCCCGTGTATTTCATTTGGGTATCTGTTCAAATATTTTACCCTTAGAAGGGCCTTTTAAAATCCTACTTCTCACCACCCTCCACCCCCCTCACCCTGCTTTGTTTTTCTTCCCAGTATCATCACTACTTCCTCTTTAGTACACATGCATTTGTAGGTTTTTGAGTTTTTGTTTGGCCTTTCCTCCCAGCTAAAATGTAAACTCTGTGAGAGTAGCGACTCTTTCGGATGGATTCCTGGTTCTGTCTTCAGCACCGAGAATGTGCCTAACACCTGGCTGGCAGTCAAGAATTATTTGTTGAAAAAATGAATGTACCAACGTACAGATGGTGTCAGGAAACAATAGGGCCACCCTTTGAAATCTGACTTTGCACTGCAGGGCCCCTTCTCCCAAAGGATAGAATCAAATGGGGTAAAGCCCAGGCTTTGGAGACAGACTGGTTTATGTTTGAGTCCTGGCTCCTTTAGCTCTGTGGTTTTAGGCAAATTATTTAACAGCCCTGAGCCTCAGTTTCATCACATGTGAAATAGAAATAATAATAGCGCCATCAGAGGACTATAGGAATAAAATGGGATCGTGCATGCCAAATACTTAGCACAGTGACCAACACAGAGTAAGTGCTCAATGGATGGCGGTTACTATTAGAATTAATTAAGCAAAGAGAACCTCAGAGGAGAATAGTTCAGCAGGGCAGGGCTTTCTTGGCTGGACACTGATGGATAACTGGAGTTCTGCCATACAAGGGCTTAGCCCAAGCAGGTGGGGTTGGGGAGCTCTGGCCTTACCTTTTTAGGTATGGTGACCCCCATGGGACAGGTAGGTTATGTTCACAGAGGTCTGGCCCAGCCTCGCGTTCAGGAAGGCAACATAAAAATGGTGCTGGGAGCCTGTCCTGGCTACTGGCTCTTCAGCATCAGGGGTCTCTGGTCTGAGACATTGCACCCCAGACAGGCCTTCCACTGGGGGAAGAGGGGATGGCGCCAGCCTGCTGCTGGGGAAGCTGTGTTTCCCAGTGTTTGTGCCTGGCAAACACCCATTGCTGAAGGAGGTGTACTTCAGCAAAAAACAGGGACAGAGCTGCTTGCTTCTTCCTGCCAGTGTCCTCTGCTTCCCTTCAGTCACCCTTCATGTCTCACTGCCAAACTAACAATCTAGAACACTGTTTTATTCTCTGTCACCATGCTGCTCAAGAATTTGCAAAGGCTCCCGATTGCTTGTGACCATCTGCAAGTGGGTAGGCCTCTTGAGACCTCAATTTTCTCATTTTTATTGAGGGAAGAGGTGAACTGGAAGGTTAGAGTGGAAGCTCTCTGTGTGATTCTGTCATTCTAGCAGGTCAAAACCAAATTCCCCACGCTTCCGCTAAAGGTGCCCCATAATCCTGCCCACTCCCTTGGTCCAACTTTATATCCCACAAGCCTAGATTCTGAACCTTCCCATCCAGCCTGCTCTCCTCTCTGATCTCAAACACCCTCCTCATGCCCATTTGTGTGCACTGTCTTACTCTTTTCTCTCTATCTGGGATGTCTGCTTTGTCCCTGTTGCAAAGCTTCGGTGCTGGAATAGTGGAGTGATTAACAATAGAGGCTTCGAGATAAATAAAACTGGCTTGAATCTTTGTTTCACAACTTACTATCTAGGCAATCTTAGGCAAATCTCTGAGCTTCTGTGCTTGCAGTGATAACATAGAGACAATGATAAATACAGAATTAGCTGTAGTAATTGAGATAATGTGTGCAGTGGCAGAGCACAGTGCTTAGCACATAGTAAGTGCTCAGTAAGTAGCAATGATTACTATAGTCCTCTCTGCCTCTCCAAATCTTGTACATCACCCTAGGCCCAAGATTTCTCTGTCCTCTGAAGCTCATGGTGGGGATCCCTTTCTGAGTTCTCACAGCTATTGGATCTAGGGCCTGGTTAGGTGTCTCATTAGATTCTGCCTTACAGCACAATAATTTCACGTATGTGCAGCCTCTTGCCACCTCAAAAGAGGCATGATGCCTTAAGTTCTTGGAGAAGAGAAACCATGATTTTCATCTTCACTAGCTCCCAGGATACTGATAAAAAATTTGGGGATACTTAATAATTCCTTTTGAATTGAAGACTTCAAATATCACATCCATGTTATCAATTGTCCCAATTCCTAGACTCATGTGGATATTCACAAAGGCCTGAGGGTCTTTATATAGGTGAAGAAGGTCTCCCCAGAATCAGTATCGAAGGTAGCCCATGGATTGTTAGTCACAGACCTCTTAAAAACCTGGCAACTAAAACTCTAAAATTCTTAGAAGAAAACATAAGGGAAAAGCTTCGTGACATTGGATTTAGCAATGACTTTTTTGGCTATGACACTAAAAGCACAAGCAACAAGATTAAAAATAGATAAATTAGACTATATCAACATTTAAAACTTTCATGCATCAAAGGACAGTATCAGCAGAGTGAAAAGGCAACTCACAGAATGGGAAAATATGTTAATATTTAAAAATCATGTATCTGATAGGAGATTAAGATCCAGGACATATAAAGAATACCTACCACTCAACAACAAAAAACAAACAGCCCAATTAAAAAATGGGCAAAGAACACGAGTGTTAATTTCTCCAAAGAAGGTATACTAATGGCCAATAAGCACATGAAAAGATGTTCAACATCACTAATCATTAGAGATCCAAATCAAAACCACAGTGAGGTACCACTTCACACCTATTAGGATGGCTATTATAAGGAAAAAGAAAGAAAATAACAAGTGTTGGTGAGGATCTGGAGAAATTGGAACACTCGTGCATTGTTGGTGGGAATGTAAAATGGTGTGGCCGTTATGGAACAGTATGGTGGTTCCTCAAAAAATTAAAAGTAGAATTACCGTGTGATCTAGCAATTTCGCTTTTGGCTATATACTCAAAAGAATTGAAAACAAAAATTCAAACAAATATTTGTGCACCCAGGTTCATCGCAGTATTATTCACAACAACCAAAAGGTGGAAGCAACCAAGTATCTAGCAATAGACGGATTTACAAAAAGAGTGGTATATCCATACAATGGGACATTATTCCACCTTAAAGAGGAAGGACATTCTGACACATGCTACCACATGAATGAACCTTGAAGACATTAAGCTACGTGAAATAAACTAGTCCCAAAAGGACAAAGACTATATGATTCCACTTTTATGAGGTAACTAGAGTAGTCAAATTCACAGAGACAGAAACTAGAATGGTGGTTGCCAGGGGCTGGGGACAGGGCAGAATTATTGTTTAATGGGAACAGCATTTTAGTTGGGGAAGATAAAAAACATTTTGGAGCTGGATGGTGGTGACGGCTGCACAACAACATAAATGTGCTTGATGCCACTGAACTGTACACTTGGGAGTGGTTCAATAGTAAATTTTATGGTGGATATTCTGCTACTAAAAAAAACCTGGCAAATTTAAGACTATTCCCTAGGTGCGCCTCTGTTTTTACATATAGAATTTTATGTGGTGTTTCAGAGAACACCTTCAGAGAACACAGAGATGAACCTTCTCAGGTTTATCTGTGGACCCATTTGACAACCCTAGTGTTATGGTGAAGCCAGTTCCGTGAGCTCTGAGACATTCTTCGGGTCCCTTAATGGCGAGCCCTGCCCATTTAGGCCTTTGTGAACAGGGCTGGTCCCGAAGTTCCAGATAACCTTCTTTGCAGAAGCCCCTTGGCTCCAAGGACAGGGAAAAATGGTTCAGTTTGTTATTACATAAAGCCACATCCTGAAAGGAACTTAGCGCTCTTCTACATACCTGCCCTCTGCTCTGCGAGTCCGGGAGTTGGAGCAAAGCAGGTACACGGGCTCCATTTGGGCGGGTGGTGGTGGAAGAGGGGGAGTCTCCTATAAGCAGAGCATCTTTAATGCCCGTTCAGGACACAGTCCCCTTCCGGAGGCCCTGGGGCTGCCGTGGGCCGGCTCACTTCCTCTCACGCTTTCAAGCTACAGTGCTTCCCATTACATTGCAGAAGGCCGCCTGGGGTCATATCTTGCAAAGGAAGAGCTATTAAAAAATATTTCATTTGGATTTTCTACGTGGCCCTCCACCTGGAAATATCTTTTATCTGGCAACTTCTGCAAAGCGAACTGAATCTCGAAGGCGGTCCTGGCAGGTTTATGCCAGCTTCTCTGTCACTCCTACAGGCACTTCCATCCTTACCTTCACAAGGGTCGAGCGGCTGTGACTTGGGAGGGGAAACAGGACTGGCGTGGAGTGAGTCCTCCAGGCCCTGAGCCATCTTTTTAACCCTGAAAACACCCACTCGGAGGGCAAAGGCCAAGCCCCCAAGACTATTATACACACCCTCTCTCAGCTCAAATGTATGTGATCTCACTCCAAGTTCAGATCCTAATTTGCAATTCTCCATTTCGTGATTATTAAGTGCAACCTGGCTCCCCAAGACTGCGAGCTCCTGCTCAGAACGGAATCCAAGAGCCTTAGTCTAGTGTGTGGCATGCAGTTAGCATACGATTAATATTTATGGAAGGAAGGAAGGAACAAATGAATTAGTTAAACCCACCTTACCTGCCTCTTCACCAGTTCAAGTTCAGGTTGAAAAATAATCTTCTTTTCGGATGGTCGTTACTGAAAGAAAATGAGAGGTGCTCTCTGGTTTAGGTAGCTAGAAGAAAGGAAAAAGAGAGAGAGAGAGAGAACAAAAAAGAGTCTTTATCTTCAGTTAGAGAAATGTTTCCACTGGTCCTTGATAAACCAGGGAAAAGTACCCCCCGGGGCTTTCTGATAGCCAAGTGTCCCCGATAGCGCCTGGGTGGGGCAGGCGCGCTCTGGCATCGGGGTGCAGGGATGGATTCTAACGGTTTCTTTGCTGGTTGAAGAGGCTGCTTCCTGCCGACTTTTTTTTTTTTCCTTCTTCTTCTTCACGTACCAGCCCAGCTTGTAAATGTGAAGGGGTGGCCCCTGTTCCAAATGTGCAGGGCTGGTATATCAGTTGTCCTTACCGCTGTCACGCGGCCTTTCAGCTGGATGCTCCGCTGGTCTGAGAAGACACGTGTTCTCTGCCTGTCGCACGCTTTGCAAATGTCTCATCCCGGAGTCTCGGAAATCCCCCAGGAGTTAGAAAGGGCAGGTCGCCAGGTTCCCATTTGATAGGAGAGGAAATTTGGCCAAAGCCCTTCCAGATCTGCTTAGACTAGAATGCCACAGGATGCTTACTCCTTAGACTCCGGCATTCTTGCTCCCAAGAAGGTCTTTTGAGAATTTATTTTTCAAGAAGAGTCTCATTAGGCAAAAGTCAACACAGAAGCTGTATTACCTAGTAAAGGGCATCTGTTGGATTTGTCTTTTGAGTAATTCCGACACACGATTACAGTTGTGAATAGATGGGCTTATCGTTGCAAATAATAGCTACCTTTTATTGAAAACTTACTATGCACCAGACATTTTATATATTTTATTTTACTTAGTCCTGATAACAACCATCTGGGATCAGTAGTAATATTATTCCAATTTTACAGAGAAGAAAACTGAGAGAGAAATTCAGTAACTTGCTCAGGGCCACACAACTGCACGAGTGCAGGCGATGGGATTTAAGCCTCGGCCTTCTGACTCTCTGCCCTTGTCTTATTCAACATGCCAATGTGGCTCACGTTTCCTACATCTGCATGTTAACAACGCATATTCGTAGGCCCATACCAAATGTACCAGGTCAAAATATCCAGGTCAAAAGATGAGAAGGTCTTTCCCTGGATAATCAATCTAAAGTAGCCTTCTCCCCAGGCACTAACACACCACTATTTTATTTTCATCATGACATTTGTCACTACCTGATATTTTCTTATTTATGTATTTGCATACTATCTTTCTTCTCCACTAAGGGATAAGTTCCATAAGAGCAGGGATAACACATCCAAAGTTTTATGTCCTAGACACTAAATAAGGGGGTGGTACCTAGTAAGTATTTAATACATATTTATTAGATAAATTACTGACACTGTCCAAAGCACTGTGTTAGGATTATGAGTCTAGATACAGATTCCTGGGGGAAAGAGGCTCATCGCAGAATACTGGTGTGACTCCTGAGGCTGTGGGTTGGGGACATTTTGTCACACATACCATGTATTTGCCATCCCAGAGAAAGAAAATCCCAAGAAAGTTAAGATAGCAAGATGACACAGAAAGTCAGTAGAAGAACCAGGTAAAATGTAGTCCCTCCCTCCAAGGACCTTTATCTCTTACTTGAAAGTCAGAATGAACACAAATGTACTGCAGAAAAAATACACGATCAACAGCGAGGTTCTGACCCAAACTGCAATCAGATTGGATTAGGGAGA